CCCTTTTAAACTTTAACTCGGTTTTACTCTATGTAACCCAGAACCTGGTACAGTAAGTGATGGCATGTACAAGTAAGAAGGATTCTTTATTGCAGTGCTTCTTGCACTGGACTCCAAATGCTGGCTAACTGCTGCAATGGCAGTTACATTGGCTTTCTGTCTGTATTGCTAATAGGAAATCTACTTTGGTTTGCTGTAAGGTTGGAGAGGATCTTACAACTTGGTTGTATTAGTTGAAGTGGGACAGTAGGTACAGATTTCACTGAAATTACGTATGTTTACGCCATTTGGGCAACTTCTGTTTACCTCTGATTTTGATAGCTGTAAATAAACAAAATTGAAATAAGTGCAGGTTTACCTTTCAGTCCTGAAATAGGACTGCCACAAAACTCTCTCCTCCAGGAACTCAAGGAGATACACAAAGTCAACATCCTACAAAGATGGTACAACCACCCATTTCTGAATGGTATGCAGTAGAGCTTGTGAAGGTTTGGGACTGCTTTCAGTTGAGAAAGGTACTCAAACAAGGCACAGGCTGCACCTTCAATTTTCACTCAGATTTAACTTGGGGGGGAGGGGGGGAAACCAGAATCTGACAGATGACCTATTAAGGAAACAAAAAAGCTTCCTAAATCCTAATGGCAAAGTACCTGGAGCTCTTGTAATAGCAGAGAAATCCAGAAATGATCACTGAAAGTGCTACTTTCACATCTGTTCCAGCTGTGAAGCTGTTAATTTTATATATGTCTCCGTAAGTTGGAATTGGTTTTCTTGGGATAAAGAGTTCATAGCTGCTCTGCGTGTGTATGTGCCTCTGCTCTTGCAGTTTTGCAACTGTTGGCTGATCTGGAAAAGCAGCCAAGGCATGACGAGATCCTCTCCTGCTCTTGTGTGCGTGTGTGGATGTTCAGGCTGCAGTGAGTACTTAGTATTACTGGATCACAGTCTCAGGCACCTTTATCAGTGACAGCAGCATAAAAAGGCCTCAAGTAAATCTCAGATGTCAAGCCCAAATGAAATCAGTCAATGAAACATCTTACTAAGTCCAGTTCTGGTGAAACTGTTTTCTTCACTGTACTTAAACAAAGCTGAGATTGACAATCTTCTATCTCAGCATAAAATAGTTTATTGAAGAGACAAGATGAGGCAATTCAGCAGCATTTTGTTCCTCTTCTAACTAGGGCAGGACCAACAGGTTTTCAATTATCCCTTTAAAGATCCAGGACTTGCCAAACCTTACTACGTTACATTTTGTCAGAGTATCACCTCTGTCACTGTTGCCGACTTCTGACACAAAAGCCGCATTTCTCCCCATTTTCTAAAGGTTCTTCTAAAGGCTGCAGGGGGAAGTTGTTACTAATTTGGCTTGGATCTAAATGTATCCTACTGCTAATGGAAACTGAGCAACAGGGATCATCTGTTTTACCCCAGCCTTTTCTGGCACTGAGGGAACTGTTCTCATTAGTGCCCATCCAGGAACAGCAAAGCTGACAATACACCAGGTTTTAACAGCAGAGGTGACACCCCCAGAATTGGCATGACAGCAGCACGGAAATAGCCTCAGTATGACTGTGAGACACTTCTTAAACAGAAAAAAAAAAAAAAAAAGGAGCAAGCTTACAACTGCATTTTGTGCTTATTAATAGCAAACACTTGTCACTCCAGGATTGAGAAAGCAGCTGGACCACAGCTATGTTGCACATGATATTCTCAGCTGAGGAACATGAAGAAAGACGAAAGCATGACTCTCAAGTGTGCTCTTTATTATTTCTGAAATTGAATTAGGTATATGTCATCCTAAAACCAGTCAAGGCATTGAGAACTTCAGCTATGTAGCAGAGCAAAGGTTGCTAAAATCTACAAGAGAACACTGTCTGGAGCAAGCAACCTTACACTTCCACAACTCTTCCATTTGTTTAGCTGTAGAATCACCCTTAACCATACAGCAAGCCCAAGCTACAATTATTACTTAGGCTGGTTGAGATACGGAGAGGTGTGTATTGATATACTCAGAAGTGTATCACTAGAAGTGATATTTTAGGAAGTATTAAATCAAAACCTCAGCAGCAGTCAGTTGCTACAGAGCACAGAAGTTCCACTGCTCTAATAAGAGGACCATGCCTTAATGGTGCACTTGCCCTATTCCATACTAACAAAGGAATGCTATTAGAGCTGATATTGCTAGCTACTGAACTACACACTAGGGTTAGACCACTCAGCATCCTCTCATAAAAGGCTCTTACGGTGCATCCGAGATACTACCACAGTGAGCAGAAAATGAAACAACCCCAAACTCCCTCAAAAAATACAAAACTAAGCTCCCAGTCCTTGAAGTCTGAAGCCACATACTTCAATGAAGCCAACACCTCCACATAAACCCTAACACAATAACCACACAGATACAGGGCATTTGTATTTATTGCATGGAAACAGTACTGGGGCAATATAGAAACAGCCTAGTAAAAGTAAATGGAAAGCAGTTCTTCAGGTCAGTGGTTAGTGCCCTCACTGAACTAGAAAGTTTATTTTGCTTCAGATTGCAGAACCTCAAACTTCACAGAAGCTCTGTTCACAAAACAGAAGAGTGGTTCTTCAGTAGGAATAGTACTTCTATACACAGTGATGCTATGTACTTCATAGAGGAAGGCAAAAAAATCCCACCTTCCATGTAAACACTTTCTACCAACCCCATGAAGATGTTTCAGAGTAAGAGGTACTAGTGAGAAAAAGAGTACTTCATCCAAACACCACATAAAGCTAATATAATGAACAGAAGAGAAAGTGGTGCCTCCAGTTCAACCTCTCTACATTACAATTTGGCATCAACAGTTAACTTGAGCTAAGAGCAGGTATCTACAGTGCTTTGCCACTCTGAAGAGACATAGAACAAGAATGAAAGTTTAGGAACAGCTTTAAGGAATAAGAGGCAAGTGCTTCTGCCTTTTCAAAAAGCAGTCCAACTGTAGAAAAGCAGGACCTGTGAAAGGCAGGGTTACCAAGTATCATGGAGAATAGCATGAGCTCAGAGACAATAAGCCACTTCGGGTTGGTGCTGTTCACAGATTTAGTCAAAGGAAATTTTTGTGAAATGTAAAAGCTACTACTGCCTATTGTGGACAGTGGAGTCAAGTTCCATACAGTGCACTGCAAGGTGGCTGGACTTCAGTTCTCATGCCATTTTTAAATGCCCTATCTCATCTTTCTTAAGATGTCAGTAGACACATAACTTCTTGAGTAATTACTTCAACTATTAAATTCAACACAGCTCTCAGATAGCACGTCTATTTTGGCTAAATAGCACAGCAGGTTTAACACAAAACCCAACCCTATGCATATGCTACACAGCTAGGTGTTG